GTAATTCACCAGTTCAGCGCTTAAAATAGTGAAGTTTCATCAAGGCTCATCAATGTCGGATTTTCCTGACCGCTTCAGGACGGTTCTTGTTCGTTTAGTTGATGAGAGATTTGGACCGCACCATGCCTTGTGGAAGTACATTGCAACTCTTGCAGGATATGAAGCCCGACTGCCAAGCACCGTGGCATGGCCTACAAGTCGTCCAGGCATGAGGCAAGTAGTGTCATTGTAACAGGAGATGATAACCGAATCAGACGCCACAAAAGGCTCCATATATCATCATAACAGTCAAACAAGGCCGTATTCTTGCGACGACACGCCTGATGCGGCTAACTCGGCCTCTTGCTGTATCTCAACGGAATGACATTCCAACTGGGCCTGAAGTCGGATTCTAAGGGAAAGAAAAAGCTCAAAACCCAAACACCCGGCAGTTGAGGAATACTCTTGTTCTCAACACCGTTCCAAGGCATTGTCCTGTGTATGCAGGATGGTCATGCGGGCGACCAGTTATCGTACCCGTATATTATCCTAGAGACGGGCACTTTTTGACGCCATGCAGCCCTGTCAAGAAAGCTAATGAATCGAACATTACGAAGTACAGCCGCTGGATGCGCAACCGGCTTGGCATGATTTTGTTTAAATGTTCTCCGTACTCCGTACTCGGAACCTGGCTACACCTAATCGGTTTCTATCAGGGACCCTTGCAATCCCTATCCCTGCCTTTACTTGGGATGATCCGCATATTCATGTACATACTCCGTACATACATATGATGTAGCTAGCCGACCGCTGTGGCTCCTACCAAAGTTGACTCTTGCAATTCAGGTCAGAGATCATCGCCTCGCCAACGGACAATCACCATGTGCGGAGTAGCATATGGCATAGTTTGCTACATTTCTCACTATCAAGCTGAAGTTTGCTCCGCGGCTCTTGCTGGCACACGCACGCCGCCATCTCTAACGATATCCCCAGGATCCCAACCTCTTCATCGACCTGCATTGCATTAGTTTGACCGGCGACCGGGTCAAGTCTGAGCAGTCAGGGTGGCCGAGGTGACAGGGTAACCTGGATCGGCCTTATGCACATTCGTAGGCCATACAGAGCGCAAAGTCGTACTCCAGATGGATGTCCCCAAACGACTGCCGAGCCTCTGGAAGGGAGAACTTCACATTTCTCATACCCGTCGCATGTTAGACCTGATTCATCTACTGGCGGAGACTGCCGTCACCTAACAAACCCAACCTGGGCCGAAGCCATGGCACGAGGCATATGGAACAGTGATTCTATGGTGACAAAGCAAAGAGATTACTTCATCCAGCTACTTGACTTAACCACAACGCGCTGTAAAGAGAAGGTATGTTTGACTTTTCACAGCGCCTGCAATGATGCCAACCTCGAGGATTCCGTTTTTGTCCGTCTCTCGTCACCACATTGAGAAGCTGCGGTGTAACCGTATGCACGGTGTCTCGCTGAACATCTGAGGATAGGGAACAGAATTAGACTCTGCAGTAATGCAGTATTTGGCAACACAAGACGCGGGTTAGCATTTGCGATAGATGACACAATGCGGTAGTGGCTGATATTGCTGGGGGTACACGAGGCATACGCAAACTACTCAAAATTACGCCTTCGGCGCTTTGATTCAACTAATCGCCATGGTAAAATATCCTTGCATCCATTCTACCCTGGCTACTTGTGCCAGGTATGGAGGAGCCAGTTCATGATTTTTAATGCTGACTAGATGCCTCGCTGCATCACGATGTAGACCGACCCCATTATTACGCATTGTCTAATGGTGATCATCTCTATATGGCTGACACAAATCAATAGTATAGTATTCCTAAACAGGACGAATGTGCTGACGTGGTCTGTGTCGAAATATCATTGCGTTCATAGCCCTCAATATGAGCGGCCTTCTTGACGAGAGCTTCTCTATTGTAAAATGAAGTTGCAAGTTATCCGCAATTTGCGACTGCTTCTCATGAGAAGTCGAAGTCGCCGTGATGTTCATCTCAGTCGACTCTCCCACCAGGAGCCTGTCTGAGACATCTGTTTTATTTGACCCTTGGTCCGAAGGTGCACATTTGCCGCCTCAACTGATGGCGAGTCATCATATCTACGGGATGCGATTTCAAGGACCACATCATTGTCTTCATAGTATATATATATATACATATATATATATGCTGGCCATGACTTCGTCGGCATACCAAACAAACCTCAACACGTTGTCATGCTTCAAAGTATCAGACATTCTGAAGTTATGAGTATTCCATTCAGCTTCCGGTTAACGCTCGCTAGGTGACGCTTTGCAATCATCTGCTTGGGTGCACATATTACAAAACGGCTTGCTGATACATGACTGGGGGGAATAATTTGCCATCACTTCAACAACTGCAACATGCCGGGCTAAGACCATCCATAAAGTCTTTGTTTTAAAACCTCTACTAGCAAAGTTCTGACAGGACGCTCAGTTAACACGGGAGAAGCAATCTCGGAGTTATGAGCCGTGAATACCTCAAGTCAGACAGATGGCGATGGATCTGTTCTTCAGTGTCTTAAAACAAGTGCCGCCGGATTTGGTTCAAGACAAGACATTCGGCCATGAGACAGACATCCAGAAGTTCTTGATCCGGCACACCGCGGATCTTTCGGAAAGCCGGTACGGGAAACGGCTTTCATTACGTTTCCCGCCTTGAATGGAATGGCGTCATCGTGACAACTTAAGCTGAGAAATGACTGCTAGCTCAGGAAATGGATAGAAGCCCCGTGATCGAGCTAGGCCATGTAACTATTCTTGGGGCAGTGCAGGCCTTAGGATGGAGCTAAAACCCGGCACGAGATATCGATTACTTCTTTCCCGAATGGGCATTGAAGCTATTGGTTGAATACATCTTATACGGTACCTTGCCCCCGTCGGCAACCCTATCATCAGCTCCTGCGGCTGTGGGACATTCCGCATGTATATGGCATAATTTTTCACCTGGACAAGCTACGCTCACGGCAAGGGGTGAGGACAAGGTTGTCGTATTTCAACAGTACAAGGTAAAGATCGTGGACATGCACGCAGGCATGTGTGTGTGTTTTTTTTTAGATCTTTGAAACAGTCACCCAAAAAAGGTGCCAAAGTTCATGGAGACTTAATCGGAGTGATCCATCCGTGAGAAGTTACACAGGAAACCGCGATGGATTCGTTCCCCCAGGATGGACTTCCATGAGAAAATAAAAAGAACAAGGGATCCTCATGCCGCCACCATTGGTTTGCATAGCGTTGCATCCGTCGGGGAGACGTGACCTTGCGGCCTACAGACCGGCAAATCATGGATCGTGCGTAGACAGAATAGGCACCCCACCACCACGACGAGGATGCATGGCCGCAGATTCAAAGTCCGCATCTTGGCTCACCGTCCTATGAGAGGGGGTAGAACAGGTTGACAGACAGGGTCGTGTCGCCGAGACGGCAGACTTACAACGATCTGAGAAGGCTTGAACCCTTTGCTCATCATCTAAAAATCCTTTGGGCCGCCGATATAGCTGACTCGCCAGACTCCAGCTTCGTGGTGCAGCCCACGCCGCGCACGGACAACATGATGACCAGCTCAGCGGTTCAGCTCCCTTTGTCCAGTTTAATCCCGTCGCAACATCATACTGTCTTTGCCCCCAACGTCTTTTGGCCCGTCGTGTCTGCCATAAGGTGGGGATACATCGTGATGGAATCCGCGGCCTTGCTGCAGCTTCATCGTACAAGCATCTCCTTGATGCGGCCCGGCCGAGTATCAAGTAGGCCGCGTACCATCTGATGCACCGTATCTGGAGAAGATTGGAAAGGCAGTTGGGCCGTATCATGTACAACATGAACCAATGGCATTCTCTGTTGCCAAGACAGAAAAATGTAGGTGGTTCCGGCAAAGAGGTCATCTGGCCTCCAACATCCATGGATGCCCAGCCGCCTGGTTGCCTGCTAAACCCAAGCCCCGGTTTCGAAGAGCACGAAGGCCTCCATCGCATTACCAATGACCCTTGTCTTTTTTTCCCTTTTGGATTCCCTCTTTCGATTCCCTGACACCCCCGATCGTGCAGCTAAGACATGCACTCGGGGCATATTGGCAGCGTGTCAGTTGAGAAAACTTGACCGTCGTGATGGTGACTAATTCCCAAGTCCCGGACTCCAGAATGACGATCTTGTTACGTGCTACCGGTTGACCAAGTGGTCATGGATTTTTGATAATGAGCAACGCTCCGCTAAGTGCATTTTAGGTGTGTCCGTTGCGTGTCTTGGCTGTTGTTTCATGGCCCAGGTATTGAAACGAGTTTGTAGGGGTTGTGCTTTATCGTTGCGAGGATAGGATTCATGAGCAATAGCTGCCTTTCGAGTGTGGTGATATGATTTGGGTCACGACTCGTGCTTGGTAGCATCCGAAAGGTGAAGGTAACTACATTAGATGATGCTGATGCTGAGCATCATCACATCAACGTTACATTACCAGGAGTTGATGTCTTTGCGCTGAGATCGACATGTGTCTGATCGAATAGCATATTCCGTAATGGTATTTCACAACTTTGAATGAACCAACCATTATACATCGATGTACTCCGCAACACTGGCCTTGTTAAGAGTCCTGGTATATCGCCAGTTATTTGTTGCCTGATAAAATCATGGTGTGGATTTCGGTTGCAGCTTCATTTTGACTGTATGGCCACGTGACTTGATATCACGTGGTCGCTCGACTTTTCACGACATGGTTTTACGTGGACGTTCCGTGATATGCATTTAGTTGAAACTATATATATAAACAAACAGGGGGGGAATACAATCAAGGCGTCAAATGCGCTGTTGAACTTAGAGTTGTGCATCCTCTGAGCTTTGGAAAGCATTCTTATCGCCACACCCTATCGATAAGGAAGCGTAACCTCACCTTTGATTCGCTTAGTAAACGCTCCAAGAAACTTCTTTGCATATCGGTAATTTTCGACATCAACAGTAGCAAAGCAACATCGCCATGACGAGCTTGAAGAGATCCCACGAGGGGGACCCTTTGGCTTCCAGCATTTCAAGCAAAGTCTACGTTCGCTCAACACGCAGTGGTAAGGTCCAAAAAATCGTGCGGGAAGTCTATCTTAGAACCGACATTCCCTGTTCATCCAAGTTATGTAAAGCTTGCCTAGAGGGAGCTCCCAGAAATGCATCTCAACAAGGTACGCTAGGGACCTTTCTTTTTTCATTGAAAACACTTGCTCATGTCGGGATAGCTCAACCGTTTGTCCTGTCGGAGAAGCCTGCGGCTACCAAGGCCTTCCGGCAAGGACACTACCTAGTGCCGGATACAAACGCACTTCTCAATGCTATGGATCTCTTTGAGCAAAGTTCAGCATTCTACGATGTGATCATCTTGCAGACGGTCCTGGAGGAGCTTAGAAACAGATCTCTGCCCTTGTATAACCGTTTAATTGGGCTTACCAAAAGCGAAGACAAGCGATTTTACGTGTTTTTCAACGATTTCCGGCTAGAGACGTACGTCAATCGGGAGCTGAATGAGAGCGTCAACGATAGAAATGACCGTGCGGTTCGTCTGGCTGTCAAATGGTACGGCGAACACCTATCCCAGACTAAAGCAGGCAAGGTTCCTGCCATTGTCATGCTGAGCGATGACCAAGAGAACCTCAAGAAGGCGCGCAGCCAAGGCCTCAATGCACTTTCATTACGGGATTACGTGGGTAGTCTTGAAGATGGAGACAAGCTTCTTGATATGGTGGCTGAGACCCAGAGTCTGGGCGGCTTTAAGAAGCAGTCGCAAATGCTTTACCCTGAGTATTTCAGCCTCTCAAGGATGATGACCGGCGTGAAGGCAGGCTTGATGCATCAAGGCATTTTCAACGTCTCGCCGTACAATTACCTCGAGGGCTCCATCAAAGTTCCAGCATTCTCCAAACCCCTACTTATTCTAGGACGTGAGAGTATCAACCGTGCTGTTGACGGAGATGTCGTCGTCGTAGAGATGCTTCCCCAAGACAAGTGGAAAGCACCGTCTACCAAGATTATCGAAGAAGACAATATCACCAAGAATGAGAATGCTGACACCGAAGACCGAAATGACTTTGTTTCAGACAAAGAACGAAAAGCACTGCAGGAGGAAGCAAAACGGACACACAAGTCTTCGTCAGAAAGCCAGTTGCAGCCTACTGCCAAGGTGGTCGGTGTAATCAAACGAAACTGGCGTCAATATGTGGGACATATCGACCCATCTTCAGCCAGCAAGTCCGCTTCATCCCAGGGCCGCAAACAAGACAGCGTTTTTCTCATTCCCATGGATAAGAAGATACCCAAGATTCGTTTGCGAACTCGACAAGTATCTGAACTCCTGGGTAAGCGACTCCTTGTAACTATCGACGCGTGGGAGCGCGACTCTAGGCACCCAGTTGGTCATTTTGTCCGCTCACTCGGCGAACTCGAAACCAAGGCCGCCGAGACAGAGGCTCTACTTCTGGAATGGGATGTTCAGTATCGCCCGTTTCCCAAGACTGTCCTGGATTGTCTCCCCAAAGAAGGCCATGACTGGAAAGTACCTGCGAGTGTGGAGGACCCGGGCTGGAAGGATAGAGAAGACCTCCGTGGACTTCTCATTTGCAGCATCGACCCTGTAGGCTGCCAGGATATCGATGACGCCTTGCACGCTCGCAAATTGCCCAACGGAAACTTTGAAGTTGGTGTCCACATTGCCGACGTGTCACACTTTGTCAAGCCTGCCAACGCCATGGACACAGAAGCCAGCATCCGTGGGACAACGGTATACCTTGTCGACAAGCGTATCGACATGCTCCCACCCTTGCTTGGTACGGATCTCTGCTCGCTGAAACCCTACGTCGAGCGGTACGCCTTCTCCGTCCTCTGGGAACTCAACGACAACGCCGACATTGTCAACGTGCGCTTCACCAAATCCGTCATCAAGTCTCGCGAAGCATTCAGCTACGAACAAGCCCAGCTCCGCATCGACGACACCTCCCAGCAAGACGAACTCACCAACGGGATGCGCATGCTCCTCGCGCTCTCCAAAAAGCTCAAGAAGAAGCGCATGGACGCCGGCGCCCTAAGTCTCTCCTCGCCAGAGGTCAAGGTCCAGATGGAGTCAGAAACCTCTGACCCCATCGACGTCAAGACCAAGGAGCTCCTCGACACCAACTCCCTCGTCGAGGAGTTCATGCTGTTCGCCAACGTTAGCGTCGCCGCAAAAATCTACGACGCATTCCCGCAAACCGCCATCCTTCGTCGCCACGCACCACCCCCCAAGACCAACTTTGACGAGCTCGCCGACCAGCTACGCGTCAAGCGAGGTTTCGAACTCCGCACAGATACATCCAAAGCCCTCGCCGACTCCCTCGACGCCTGCGTCGACAAGTCGGATCCCTTCTTCAACACGCTGGTCCGCATCATGGCCACCCGCTGCATGATGTCCGCCGAGTACTTCTGCTCCGGCACCCAAGCATATCCCGAATTCCGGCACTACGGACTCGCCTCGGAGATCTACACGCACTTCACATCCCCCATCCGCCGATACGCGGACCTCCTCGCCCACAGACAGCTCGCCGCCGCCATCGGCTACGAGGCTGTGCACCCGTCCGTCCGCAGCAGGGGCCGCCTGGAGGCCGTCTGCAAGAACATCAATGTCCGCCATAGAAACGCCCAAATGGCCGGGCGTGCAAGCACAGCATACTACGTGGGGCAGGCGCTCAAGGGCAACGTCGCAGAGGAAGATGCCTTTGTCATGAAGATTTTCAGCAACGGCTTCGTGGTGCTGGTGCCGAGGTTTGGAATCGAGGGTTTGATCAGGTTGCGGGATCTGGCCGAGCCCGAGCCCGAGAGCGAGTTTGACGCCGAGACGTATACGCTCGTGACGAGGGGCAGCAGGGACCTGAAGGTTGAGCTGTTCCAGAGGGTCAAGGTGAAGGTCATGGACGAGAAGGACGAGAGGACGGGCAAGAGGGGCGTCAAGATGGTGTTGGTTACTGCGTAAATGCAGAGTAGCACCAAGTAAAGTAAATAATACGGGTCCGCATATCCCGCCGAATTTCATACAACAGTACATTTTGCGCCTGGAAAGTATCTGCGGCCCCCAGAGATACATGGTGATTCAATAACCAGCATACCAATGTGTACGGTGGTCGTAAATGAGAGTATTTTATTTTGCATCTTGTCCCTGTTCCCAAAACGCCATACATGAAAATTAAACCATACCCATTTTATGCCAGCTTTACTCTTCCATAACATCCTCCGCAGCCGCGGCACCTTCATCGTCCCCCCACAAACCATCCAGTTTGAACTCGGCAGCCCACTCCGTGACAATCTCCTTCTGGTCCGGCATGACCTCGTCCTCACCCACATTCTGGACCTTCTTGGCAGGCCCGGCAGAGGCGTCAGCCGACCCGACAGCCAAGGCAGGCGGCTCAACCCACCCCTGAATACGGCCGTCTCGCCAGTCTGTAACAACAGCCATGGCAGCAGCGTGGATGTTGGGGACGCCGCCTCGCCCCAGTCGACCTCGCTTCCTAGCAACCTGCACCAAAAAGTCGGTCGTGACATCGCCGTCGAGCCTGTTGGGTAGAAGGGCCGGAATATCATACACACTGGTCAGTTTCTGCATCAGGTCCGGGGAGGATGAGAGACGGCGGATGAGCAGGCTGACTGCGGGGACGGGATCATCAATCTGCTTGGGAGGAACGGCGTTGAGGAGAATAAGATGGGCATGTGCCTCAGTTGCGTTTTTGAGGCTGACGAGGCCACCGGACTGGACGGATGACGAGGACGGGAACACGACGCCGGGAGAGTCGAGGAGCGTCAGCTTGCTGTCGATTTTGACGCTGCGGATGCTGGTGGTGACGCCGGCTTCGGCGCCCGCCGGGCAAGCCTTGGAAGAGCTGCCGCCCTTGCCGCTCATCCTGCTGAGGAGGGCGTTGATGACTGATGACTTGCCGACATTGGGGTAGCCGATGACTCCTACGGACACGGCGCGCTTGAGTTGCCGGCTGGCGGCGTAGCTCTTGAGAGCTTTGAAGAGTGTTGCGGATGTGCTTTGGACCGTCAGGTCGCGGTGGTTGAAGACGTGGGCATTGGGAGCGGCACCAGAGGCACGAAGAGGGAGCGTGGGGAAGTATCGTCGGAGATGGACGAGCCAGTCTCGCAAAACTTTTGGGGGGATCAAATCGACCTTGTTGAGAATCAAGATGAGGCGCTTGCCGCCAGCGGCAGCGGCCATGATGCTGCGCTCAACCTCTCGCGATCGAGTGCCCTCGGGATCTCGTGCATCCAAGACGTACAGAACCACATCAGCCTGCTCAACAACCTGCTTGAAAACCTTGTCGTACGTCTTGCGTGACGAAGCCTGGCCGACCGAAACCTCATTCACGCCCCCACTATCAGAACCGTCACTGCCATTGTCGTCATCGTCCATGCCATCACTCTCCGCCAGCTCCTTATCGTACTGCGCCGCCGCAGCCTTCGCGCTGGCGAGCAAAGCAGCCATGGGATTCGACTCATCCACATCCTCGTCCATGAATTCATCGTCCATGTCCCCAACAGAGCCCTCAGCATCGTCAGCATCGTCCATGACTTCCTCGTCTTCCTGCTGGGCGGCACTAGTCTTCGCAGCCTTTGCCATTTCCCGCTTCTTTTCGGCCTCGGCGGCCTTTCTCAAGCGCTTCTCTTCAATTTCCTGCAGGAGCTTCTCCTTGTACGGGAACAGGTTGGGAATGCCAGGGTCCTTTTTTAACTTGGAGCGCCATTCTGGGTTCTTCTTGGCGAGCTTGCGCTGCTTCCTCTGCTTGGCTGCGGAAGCTTTTTCAATCTTGTTTCGGAGACGGGTTGTGCCCCTCTTGGACTTGGGTTCTATGGTTCGCAGTTAGATTGCTACAATGGTACTGGGCATTAGGATCAACGTTAATTTGACGACTCACTCTTTGGTTTGTTAATCGTGCCCGCCATCTTGTGCAAGACAAGCCAAGACCATGGAATGAGGAAGGCTGGACTCTCAATACCCCGTGTCAGTAGGCCAAAGTCAGACTGCAAATTAAAAAAAAAATTAGGTGGGATGCAGATTCTGCCGGCTCTTTTTCTCTTCACCGCCTTTCTCCCACAAACCAGGATAACAGCCACCATCGACCTTTGTGGAAAGCCACACCCAACTAGATCAGAACCAAAGCGTGATTGGCGCCACTGTCTCCGGGACCCTTGAAGACTCAGTACTATCTCCGATAATATGGGTCGGCGCACATGGTAAGACAGGATTCCCAGTCAACCAGTATATGAGCAGTCGTTTAACACAATACTGTTGTACTCCTCGCAGTGGATTTGTCTAAGCCTTCGGACGCCTCGTGCATCCTGGTTCCAACAACGCGAATCGGCGAAAATCGTCATCGCTTGGCACAGTCACCTGCTGTATTTTGACTAAGGCATCACACAAGGTTTATGCGCGTTCTTTCAATAGCGTCCGCGTCGCATGGGGAGCAAAAGTGATAACTAATTCTTCGCCTCAAATATAATCTTTTCCTACTACTCCAGTTCGCGCCTTGCTATGATGAATCTCGAATTAAAACCCAACACCAAAACAGTGTCTCTCACTGGCCCCTCCGGCAACACAGCGTGATTGCTCAATTTCTCATCTCTCGACTCGGTCTCAGCCAACGAACCATGTTTGCGAGGCTACAACTTGACTTTCGAACCACATCATCCCTCGACCGGTCATAGTTTTGAAAAAAAAAAAATAAGCTCAATTACTCCTCGATCATTCCGTCGTTTGTTCATTAGGCGGGTGTAAAGGTCGTGAGTGAGCTCATGATAAGAAAAAAAAAAGACATACAAACAAAAAGATAGTGCTGGGTAATAAAGTGGGTACAGAGAATCGAAAGCAGTCTGTCTGAGTAAGTCGCGAAGCATGAAATGGGCATCTAGTACAGCTGCAGACAGTGTTCAGATTACTCTCAGCCCATCTAGAGCAGATAAGCCATCAAACCCATGGCAGCAACAAAGGCACCGTTGCCCACAGGGGCCAAGGTAGGTCCAGCAAGACCCTTGGAGCTGGTAGAAGTCACCTGGGTGCTGCTACCACTCGTCTTAGAGGGCTGGGAAGCACCTGTGGTGGCGGTGGAAGAGGAGGCAACGCCGCCGCCCCCGGCTGCC